GAAACTCTATGGGGGCAGTTCTACTCTGTCCTCTAGGGTCACTATGAGTTGGAATTGACTCGACGGCAATGGGTTTTTTTGGGTTTTTTTGAGTAGCAAAACTGATGGCACAATGATTAAGAGCTTGGCTACTAACCAAAAAAGGTCAGCAGCTCTAATCCGCCAGTCACTCCTTGGAAACCCTATGGGGTAGTTCTACTCTGTCCTATAGGGTTGCTATGAATCAGAAGCAATTGGACGGCAACCGGTTTGGTTTTTGTTATAGCAAAACTGATGATTTTCCTCTCCCCACATCCCACATTTACCTGATGCAACCACTGTTGACACTCTGTTTTGTTGATTCTAGGATGCACATCTTCCTTTGCCCACATTTTATCATCTCTGAAATTGGAATATGACTTACCGTTGACACAGCACATCGTAGTTTTATCGGAAGCTCTTTTTTTTCCTTTGTTGTCATTAGCTGCTGTCGAGTCTACCCCAACTCATCGTGACCCTATGCACAACGGGATCAGAGTGCTGTGATCCACGGGATTTTCATCTGATTATTTGGAAGTAGATTGCCACATCTTTCTTTCTAGTCTGTCTTAGTCTGAAAGTGCCACTGAAACCTGTTCAGCATCATAACCACATGCAAGCCTCCACTGACGGGTGGTGGCTGCATATGAAGTGCATTGGCGGAGAACCCAGGTCTCCCGCATGGAGAAAATTCTACCACTGAAATTGTGGTGCAACCCATAATTCAACTTAGATTCAGTGGAATTCGGTAAATTGCTCTCTTCTCTTGTTTCTTCTTGCTGACAGATGTGTTTGGAAGGGTTCTGTTTCTTTTTTCATGGGACCATTCTATACATGCCCCATGGCTGTGTTTTCACTTATCAGTGCACCACAGCCATCCCAGTGCTCCACAATCTTGGAAGGAGGAGCAGCAGAGTCTAATGCAGGTGACAGGGACTCCAAGCTGCCAGCTCTTCATTTACCAGCTGTGATGTCTCCTCTCTGCACCCAACAATGGCACCAAAGAGCCAGCGGGTGTGTGGTGTCCAGCACAGGCCTGGCACCAAGTGGACGCCTGGGTCAGCCTGTCCTACCTCTCCCTGTGATGTAGACGGGTGATGTGGCAGTACCCATCACCACCCCTTCCCCAGACATGTAGCCCTGAGACCCAGAGGAGAGACAAGGAGTTTGAGCTCAAATAAAAAGGTTGGATGCAAAAGGTCAGCTAAAAAGAAAAAAAAAAGCCACGTGCAAACAAGGGCAGGGGGTAAAACCAGAAAACAGGCTCAAAGGTCAGAAGAGAACACAGAATTGCAGAAAACACAACCTTGCAAAGCAGCTATGCTCACCCCTAAGCAAATAATACGTATTGTTAAATATCAACAGAAGCCAACCGAGGCTTCTTAATAATGAGAAGGTCATAGAGAGGCCAAGGTGATTTGCCAGGTGCAGGGGAGAGACTGGCTCCTTTAACCAAGTGCCTTCCAGATGGAGGTCCAGCAGACACCAGGAGGCCCCATCCACCTCCTGAGCTCCTTCCATGTGCCAGCTTCTGAATAAGAATGCTGTTAGCTAACCTAGGCAGAGGGTGTCCCTGCGTGGCACAAATGGTTAAAAACTCAACTACTAGCCAGAGGGTTAGTGGTTCAAACCCACCCAGAGGTGCCCTGAAAGACAAGCCTGGCAATCTGCATCCAAAAGGTCATAGCTTTGAAAACCCTATGGAGCAGTTCTACTCTGCACACATGGGGTTGCCATGAGCCAGAATCGACTGGACGGCAACCAGCAACATGGTGGACAGAGCTCTGTCTTAGGTGCTTTGGGGCACTTGTCTAATACATCCCCCCTGGTAGTTATTGTCCTCATTTTATAGACAAGGAAACTGAAGCCCAGCAACACAAAGTAACCTACCCAAGGACACCCAACCAGCAGTCCAACCCCATAGCCCCCAGCTTAACCACACTGATAATGACCTCACAGTCCCATAGTGCTCAATCTGGTCCCTGTTGCTGTCGAGTCGATTCCAACTCATAGGACCCTATAGGACAAAGTAGAACTGCCCCATAGAGTTTCTAGGGAGGGGCTGGTGGATTCAAACTGCCGACCTTTTGGTTAGCAGCTGAGCTCTTAACCACCGTGCCACCAGGGCTCAATCTGGCAGGGGCCAGTAATTACAAACCAGAGTGATAATAACACAGTTCAGGGGAGCCAAGGAGTCCCTGGGTGGTGCAAAGGGTCAGTGCACTCGGCTACTAACCAAAAGGTTGTAGGTTTGAGTCCACCCAGAGATGCCTCAGAAGAAAGATCTGGCAATCTACTTCCAAAAAATCAGCCATTGAAACCCTACGGAGCACAGTTCTTCACTGACACACGTGCGGTCACCCTGAAGTCAGCTCTCCGGCATCTGGTTTAAGGAGAGTCATGGGAGCATGAGGAACCAGAAGAAGCACTGACTAGCCTTCCCAGCATGACTGAATCTGAAGGATAAATAAGAGCTAGCCAGCTGGAAGGAAGGTGGCAAGTGGGAAGGGTGCTCCAGGCAAAGGACACCGCGTGGGCATGGCGCCGAGCCCACCCCCAGCAGTGCAGCTCCACCCAAGCAGAAGGTACAAGGCAGGGAGTGGAGAACGTGGCAGCTGGCAAGGTAGCAGAGGCCAAGCCAAGGGCTCTGGGCTGAGGGGCGATGTGACCAGGCTTGCCCTTTACGAAGATGCCTGAGGCCCTAGTGAGGATGATGAGTTCCAGGAAAAAGGCTGGGGGTGGGGCCGCACCGAGGAGCTGGGTCAGGCACAGGGAACGAGAAGCGAGAACAGAGTGGAAGGACAAGTCCCAAGAACAGTGCTTTGGGGCTGGGAGGCGACAGGGCGGGGGGCCAAGGTGAGTCCCAGCTGGACATAGGAGCTGTTTAGAAAGGGATGGGGGTGGTGTGGGAGGAGCAGGTTGGGAGAAACCCACTAAATCTGCTCCTGGGGAAGGACCCGGAATCTGCCCTGAAGGGTTATTTCGAACAGACAATTTTGGGAGCCACTGATGGAAGAAAGGTGAAAGGATCTTCATAAAATGAAAATAACCCTACTGTCTAAAGGGGTGGAGGTCATTCATTCATTCCACAAATGTTAGCCAGGGTGACTGTGTGCTGGGAACTGGGGATACCACAGTGACTAAAACAAAGTCAGCCGCTGCCTTGTGGGGCTCATGCTGTATCGGGGGCAGGAGGGATAGCAATAAGCAAAGATGGAAATAGATGGTGTGTCAAGGAGCGTGGATGCTATGGAGACAAATAAGGCAGAGCAAGAAAGACAGAGAGTGTTGTTTTAAACAGAGGTGTCAAGGAAGGCTTCCCTGGGAAGGTGACGTTTGAGCAGAGAGCCGAGGGAGATGAGGGGAGAGGAGTCGTGCTGTTTGGGTAAGTGAGTTACAGGTACAGGAGCAGCCAGTGCAAAGGCCCTGGGGTAGGAGCATGCTCACTAGGTTCAAGGAACAGTGAGGAAGACAGTGGGTGGAGGGGAGTGATCGAGAGGGAGAGTAGAAGCAGAGTTCTGAGGGGTGACGGGGCAGGGGGCCAGGTCATGCAGGGACTCATGGCATGGTTTGTCTGTGTTAACAGGATCCCTCTGGCTGTGTGTGGAGAGCAGATTGGGGTGGGGGAGAGCGAAATGAGGGGCAGGGAGACCAGGGAGGAGGCTTCTGCAGTGAGCATGGTGAGAGACCGTGCAGGTGGTGAGAAGTGGTTACTTTCTGGATATATGCAGCCAGACATTTGATGAGATGATCTTATTACAGAATTGAAGAGCTGGGATGGCCCCAGCACCTAACACCTTGTCTAGAACCTGGTAACCAAAAAAAAACCAAACCCGTTGCCGTCGAGTCAATTCCGACTCGTAGTGACTCTATAAACACTCAGTAAATGTTGGATGAAACAGTGGATGGGCGGGTGGGTGGGTGGGAGGAAGATGGATGGATGGATGGATGCTTGAAGAGATAGATGGATGGATGAAGGCAAGAAGGGATGAGTGGATAGATGGATGGATCCTCCATGGATGGAGGAAGTCCAAACTGTTTCTCAGAGGCAGCAGGAACCACTGCAAGTGCTTGAGCAGGGCAGTGACCCTATGTGAGTACTGTTGGAGGAACTCTCAGGTGGTGTCATGGGCAGGGCCCAGCACCACGCTCCAAGCTGAGGATCCCCACAGGCATTGACAACCAATGCTGTCTGTTTCTTGCTGCTCAGCCTCCCATCCTCATTCATTTATTCATTAACAAGTTTTGATTGATCACCTCCTCTTGTGCTGAGGATATGGTGTGAATAAACCAGACAGGGTCCTGCTGGACACATTCTTCACCCTCTACCAGGGCCAAAGACAGGGTACAGGTTACTCCTGGTGCTCAGTGGCCTACCAACTCCATGCTGAAAAGTCATATATTGCTCTCTGCTCCTTCCAGTGAACTTGACTTCCTGCAGCCTTGGGGGGGACCCTCAGGTAAGCCAGGTAAGGCCTTACAACTGGCCTTGGGACCCTGGTGACCTTAGGCCCTCCTTCCAGCACCACGTTTTCTTGTTTGGGGTTTGTGTTCTTTGGTTTCATCTGAGGATTTGTTTTGTGTGTGTCTGTCCATCTGTGTGCACATATGCACAGGAGGAAAAGGCTGGCCTGGGAATAGAGAAAGGACCAACATGCATTTAATACCTAATGTGTTTTAGGTTCATTACGTATTTATTTGTTCATTTAACAAATATTTCTTGAACTCCTGCTGCATGTGAGACACTGGTTCAGGCAGTGGGGATATAGCAGTGAACAAGACAGTTGAGGTCTCATTAGTCAATAAAATCAGTAATTCCAGGCAGTAGTAATTGTTACAAAGAAGATTAACAGGGGAATCAAAAGGGCTATCTGAGACAACATGAGTAGGATGGTCAGGGAGGGCCTCATGAGGAGGTGATGTTGGGATGATAAATAGTACCTGGCCATACCACCATATGGGAAAAGAGCTTCCCAGCAAAGGAGCCAGCACATGCAAAGGCCCTGAGGTGGGAATGAGCTAGGTATGGTTAAAGATTGGAAAGAAGGCCATTGTGGCTGGAGTAAGATGTGCAAGGGGAGAGAGGTGGATCAGGTGGAAGATGTAGTCTGGGGACAGATCACGCAGGAATTTGTAGGTCATGGTACAGAGTTTGGATTTGATCTTGAATGGATAGAAAGCTATTGGAGGGTCTTAAGCTGGGATAAGTCTCATACACAGACCCCTCTGGCTGCAGTGTAGGGAGTGGATTGTCGTCTCATTCAATCCTCGCCACAATTCTGGGCAGTTGGTGGTGACCCACTTTACAGACAGAGAAACCGAGTCACACAGCTAGTGAGTAGCAGAGCCAGGGCTTGAACCCTCATCTGCACAAATGAATCCTGCACTTGACTGGGGGCACCCACGTGGTGCAGGTGAGGTTGAAGGATGCTGGGGAGAGATGCCTCGGGCTTGGCTCCTGTCCTGGGCGCCTTCCACGCCCCTGAGGCCAATGGTTCCCACTCAAGGCCTCATTTCACTCCCCACCCCTCGGCTCCAGGTCTGGAGGCACTGACTGCACTCCATGATGCCCTGGCCCCCACATCTGCCCAGAGCCATGGGGGGTGGGGAAGCCTGAGGATTTTCAGGGATGGGGGTGCGGGAGGTAGTGAGGAATTAGCTGGATGCAGCAGTAGGGTGTGGAGAAAGTCACAGAGACTCCCAGAGCCAGCAGTAGGGTGGCTGTGGGGGTGAAGGAGGCGAGATGCTGCAGGTGCCCCCAGGACTCTCGCTTGGGTGCAGATCTGCAGCCTGTCCCTTCCTTCCATGGAAAGGCAACTGGGGGCATGTGCCCATGGGAGAGGCAGACAGTGCAGTGTGTTCAGGCTCAATCTCTGCCTCCCCCGGGAGCCTCTGGCCCCCCTAGATGCCTGCAGAGTTCCCAGGTACTTGCTTTCTCTAGACTCACCCAGGAGACAGGAAGACCCAAGCCCAGAGCCAGCACTCATCAAGGTGCTTCAACCCTTAGAGAGTATCTTGTCCACTGCCTCCTTTTACAGGGCAAGATGGGCTCAGAGAGGTCTAGTAACTACTCAGGATCACACAGCAAGCGGGTGGCAGAGAAACGGACACTGGGCTTATGACTTGTTCCCTGGTGGGGCACCTTTCTCTCTTCTCTCCAAGGGAGAAAGGGGACCCCATTTTCCTGGAGCCCTCGGCCTCTGGGTGCCCAGCTCTGTGCTGGGGGCTAGTGCTGATGCATTGGCCCCTAAGTCCTTCCACAGGCTCCTCCAGCGTCTGTCCAGACGGGTGTGGGCCAGTCCAGCGGTTTCTTTTTGGAAATTTTTTCAGGGAGGCGTTTGGAGGCCAGCCAGTGGGTGTTTTCCACCGCCATGGAAATTTCCAACAGTGGAATTACTAAAACCTCCCATGGCCCTTCTCCCGCCCCCACTTTGTTATGAAAAACAGCTCCTTGGTGGCCAGGCAGGGGACAGAGCAGCTGAGATCCCAGAATTAGACCTGCGGAGAAGAATTCCCCAGCGATAGAGTCCCAAGTAGATCGTTAATCAGGCCCAGGGGATCCTGGTGAGGAAGGGCTTTCCAGGCACTGAGGGCCAGGAGCCAGGGCAACCCTGAGGCCAGAACTTCACTTCCTGCTGTCGGTGCCTGGGGTGGGGCTGGCACTGGGCCAGAGGAGGGCATCACACATCGTCGGCACTCAGTAGATATTGGTTGGTTGTTAGGTAGGTATGTAGGTAGATTGGTAAGGAAGGAAGGAGGTGCTGGGCCGGGGGCATATTGGTAAGACAAGTTCCATTAGGAGTCATTGCTAGTGTGTCCTTGGTCAACCACTTAACTCGTCTGTTGTTCAGTTTCCTCATGTGTAAAATGGGGATAATAGTACCTACCATGCGGGCCGGTTTGAAATGAGAAATAATGCATGCAAAGTGCCTGGTTCCATAAATGATTGTCGTTAGTTGCCTTTTCTGACTCATGGAGACCCCATGTACAACAGAAAGAAAACGCTGCCCGGTCCTGCGCCTTCTTCACGATCGTTGGTATGCTCAAGTCCGTCATTACAACCACTGTGTGTTTTGAGTGCCTTCCAACCTAGGGGGCTCATCTTCCAGCACTATATTGGACAATGTTCTGTTGTGATCCATAGAAGAAGACCCTCAATAAGATGGATTGACAGTGGCTGCAACAATGGGCTCAAGCATAACAACGATTGTGAGGATGACACAGGGTTGGGTAGTGTTCCGTTCTGTTGTACGTAGGGTCGCTATGAATCAGAACTGACTTGACGGCACCTAACAACAACAACAACAATAATTTTCGGAAGTAGATTGCCTGGCCTTTCTTCTTTGTCTGTCTTAATCTGGAAGCTCTGCAGAAACCTGTCTACCCTGCTACTATTTGACATACCAGTGGCATAGCTTCCAGCAACCCAGCAACACGCAAGCCACCAAAGTATTATGAACTGACAGACGGGCAGTGGCAATAAATGATAGCATTGTTTATTATCTCCATCATCATCCTCATCAGGGAGGCAATGGAGAATAGATAACAAGTGAGCCTGGGAGACAGACCTGAGTCTGTTTCCAGGAATCCTAGTGCTGCTCCCGTGAGCTGTGTGACGTTAGGGAGGTGACTTCACCTCTCTGGGCCTCAGTTTCTCATCCATGAAATGAGGATAAAAAGTAGCCCCTACCACAAGGGTTGGCTGTAAGGGTCATATGAGAGGTGAATTGGCCTGGGGAAGCACTGTGCCAATGTTGGTCTGACCAGGAGAGGCAAGGCCACGAAGGCCAGCCCGGTCAGCAGGGTAGGGTAGTGGCAGGTCTGGGACGGCAGGGAGAAGGCCATTTCCTGATCTGAGGAGGGAATGGTGTTTTAGTTTAGGCTCTCCTAGGTGAACAGAAGAAAGTCTTCCTCGAGCTCAGTCATGGGTCTGCTGGATAAGCCGAGAAGGGAGCTGAGATTGAACAGGCCTTAGGGAGACCTGGCACTGGTAGGACTTACAGGTCAGGAGGAGTGGCTGCCTCACTCTGGGGTCCCAGCCCTGGACCGACCATCTCTACTTCTCCCACCACCTCCAATCTGTCCCACCCTTGGACCAGTTTTCACCCACCTGAGTGAGGTGAGGTAGGGTGCAGGACTTCTCCTAGCCCACTTGTGGCTGTCTAAACAACAGGAGCCAAAGGTCAGTTGGCCTGGGCTAAGCAGGCAGTAGTTGGGAGGTGTGCACTGCAGAGCAGTTAACCATGTGGCCTCTGGAGTCTGGCAGAGCTGGATTCAAATCCTGATCCCCCTGCTTCCTAGACGTGTGACCTGGACAAGCTGCTGAAGTCTCAGGCTCCTCATCTGTAAAATGGGAATAATAATAGAGCCCACCTCCTAGATCGGTGGTGAGAATTAAATGGAACTGAATACATAAATATTGTCTGATACCACCGGGCACAGTGCCTGCCTGCTTTCACCCATGCTACTCTGTATTGAGCACCTACTGTGTGCCAGCCCCATCTGGGCAATGGGGATATTACAGGACACAAACAAGGCAGTCTAGGGTGACTGACTCATCCCTGTTAGCCCGGAACAATCTTGTTTTAGCACCAAAAGTCCCACGTCCCAGGAAACCCCTCAGTCCCAGGGAAACCAGGACAGATGGTCAACATGATACAATCCCTGCCCTTATGGAATTTACAGGTAGTGGAGGGAGAGAGACAATAAGTAAATATATAATATGCATGGTGGCTATTAGTGCTATAAAGAAAAATAATGCAGAGTAAAGGGATGAGGGGTGATGCTGAGGCTTGTTATTTTTGTTGAGGTGGTCCAAGAAGGCCTCTCTGAGGAGGTGACGGTTGAGCAGGAATCTCATGAGGTGAGGGAATGAGACATGCAAACATCTGGGAGAAGACCACTCCAGACAGAAGAACAGCAAGTGCAAAGGCCCTGGGGCAGGAATGTGCCTGGCATGTTGAAGGAATGGAAAAGTGGGTAGGGTGGGGCGAGGTAGGGCTGGCCAGTTATATGAATTGGGACTCCTTTCAAAAGCAAGCTCAAATTAGTGTGTGCAAAAAAAAAGAAAGAAACTTATTTGTTAACATAATGGAAAAAACAGGGAGGTGGCTTCAGGTATGGCTTGATCTTGGTGCTCAAATGCCACCTTTCCATTTCTCAGCTCTGCTTGCATCTGTGTAACCTTCATTCTCAGGAAGCCCAGGCCGACTTCTTACCCATCTATAACCACAACAAAAAAGAGATGACCTGTTCTCAGGTCCAGGCATGGCAGATGGGAGCAAACTGAGGTCTAGTGTGAGTGGAGAAGAAAGCGAGATAAGGAGGTGGGAAATGAGAAGGAGTTAATGGAGCCAGAGCACCCCACCTGACCTCATAGGCCTCAGAGAGGACTTGGGACTTAATTCTGAGTTTGCTGGAAGCCATTGGCAGGTTTGGAGCAGGGAAGCGACATGATCCAATTTATGTCTTAGGAATATCCCTCTGGCTGCTGTGGGGGAGATTGTAGGAGCAAGAGTGGCAGCAAGGGGTCGGCAAAGGGGCTAGTGAGAGTCCAAGTAAGCACTGATGGAGGAATTAGAGATGGAGAGAAGAGCATAGGCTTGAGAGCTACTTAGCAGAGAGCCTGGACCAAGCTTGGGGTCCAGGATAGGGGTGGGGTAGCTGGCAAGAAGTCATCAGGACCTCAGCCCTGAAGGAGCTGGGATATGGAGGGAGCTCTGGGGCAGGGACAAAGCAGGAGTGCAGACCCTAGAGGGGCCTGTTTGCCCAAATGACATGATGACAGTGAGCCCCCTGAGCTGGGGCCTGAGATCTTAACCCCCTCCCAGTCAGGGTCAAGCAGAGCCCCAGAGCCCAGAGCCTACAGTTGGGGGCCAAAAGGCCACAGCTGTGAGGCAAGGAGGGCTGAGAGGGCAGGAGGCCCACCCAACAGACAGGCCCAGAGTGTAGGGAGCCTCCTACTTCAGCCATGACCTTTCCCTTTCCC